TGGGATTTGTTATTGAAGTATTCCTGGTCTGATCTCTTGTGTTTCTCTGTCTTGCGTTGGTGTGTATCGCGAGAGAGAGAGAGAGAGAGAGAGTGTGTGTGTGTGTGTGTGTGTGTGTGTGTGTGTGTGTGTGTGTGCGTGTGTGTGTGTGTGTGCATGCGTGTCGTGACGCAGTGGAATCAGGCACTCGTCAATTTTTGGAGGTATAGTTTGGTCACTTCAATAACTTGAGAGGACCAGGAAACTAAAAAAATTTACACTTTTTGTCCCGTTATAATCAATGTTTAAAAAAAAAGTAATTTCCACACCGTAATATCTTTTTAAAAGGATATAACAGAGTGTTGTCCCCCCCCCCCCGAAAAAAAAATCGATAAAAATTGCCTAACAGGTGGAAAAGGTCCAGTTTCTTTGATTTCATTTTTTTGACGAGTGCCTGATTTCACAACGATAATGCCTCATACACACACACATACACACATAATATATACAGTATAATCCATTTATATATCGACATCCAATTTATCAACATTTTGACATATCGACATTTTTTCAATTACAAAATTGTTCCTTCAATATCTTTACTACAATTTCTCTTACATCGACTTTTTTGGCCCACTCTGCTTTATCAACATGCTTCCTCGGTGCCTGGTGAAGCACACGAATATAAATGGGGGGAAAAAGCCGCGTTAACGGTCAACACATTAGTTAGCTATTAAGTCCGCATGCCCGCCAAGTAGCCTATATCGACACACCAGGCTTTAGAAGGTCATGTAGGGCCTACACAGTGTAGTCTCCAACACAGTACAATGCCTCACAGACGTGAGCGTCTCGCGTGCTGGGCATCCCCTTCCCCTAAGCCCCACTCCCGATCGCTAACTCCCCTTCCCCATCCCATTCTCAGTCTGTTGCTGGCAAGTGCCATGGTAATTGAGTCAGTGCCTCGCCTTTCCATTTTCCCCGGCAAGCAGAACAGGGCTTACAAGGATGCTACAACAAAGTGGTGTCTTCTTCTTCTTCTTCTTCTTCTTCTTCTTCTTCTTCTTCTTCTTCTTCTTCTTCTTCTTCTTCTTCTTCTTCTTCTTCTTCTTCTGGTGGGTAGTGTGTTTCGACAAAGTACAAATTTTAATACAATTTTAATAAATCACCAAACAAACTGACAAATAAACTAAAAAACACGCACACGAATTTTAAAGGGAGTCATTAATTTATGAAGCACAGATGTACGTGTGTGTATCATTAAGCAAAAATAAGATGAAAACAAAAACACCAAACAAACAAACAAATGAACAAACATGCACATGGATTTATGATGGAAGTCGTTTTGTGAGGCATACATTATACATGTACGTGTGTGTATCAGTAGTGTAGAAATAAAGAGAGAAAAAAAAAAGAAAACAGAAACAGAAACAAAAGACAACCAAACCAATAAAAACACACTGGCTCACGAATTTCTACTTGGGGTCATTTCACAGAACATAGAAACACAATATCATGTACATGTGTGTATTGTGTATGGGTTTTAAAAACATCCCTGGGAACAATCAGAACCAAACATACGGGGCTCTCGTGGTCTAGAGGTACGCGTTCACTTTACATTCAACAGGTTCCAGGTTTGAAGCCTAACAGCGACGGAAACATTCCATTTTTTTCTCTAAAATGTTGTCTATTCACCTCCTTTCCTTTTCTCTAGACATGGTCTGTCGTCTGCTTTCATCTCCACTTTCTCGCTCTAACCCGGCCCACCCCCGGCCAGTGGGCTCCTCATTCCTTTGCTCCTTACTATTTCTACAAGTACTTTCTCCTTGCTCCTTCTTACTACTGTCTTTCAGCCACACATCCCTCATCTTAGGGTAACAGTGACCGAACTTTTGGCTTTCTCGAAAGGGAAAAAAATCTCGGAGGTCCCATGTGCAAGCTGCGCACTTTAAGCTCTCTTGGTGGTTCTAAACTCTATAAGAGTAGGCTTCGGCCGCCACCAAGGCAAAATTCAAAATTAATTCATATAAGAACCTGACAACACTCTAGTCAGTAAAAAGTGATAAACAATACCTTCGAAATCTGAATGTGGCTGCCTGAAAGCAAGGGGCCCTACAAAGTATGAAAAGCGGTCACATACACGTAAAAATCAATTGTACTGCAGGTTGAGA